CTATTTTTATGTGTGTGTGTGTGTGTGTGTGTGTGTGTGTGTGTGTGTGTGTGTGTGTGTCTTTAAGAGCAGAAATCAAATCCCAGCCACTCTTTTCTTCAGTCATGATCAGACGCTGTCTATAATGCTTAGCCATTCGTATAACACCAATCTTCTCGCGCGGCTTCTAAATTAAGGCGTCTTAATTAAATCAATAAACTAATTGCAGGAGAAGCAATTCAACTTCGGTACTTTGATTCCGTGATGTTAACAAGTATTTTAACAGGCTCACTGACTCCATGCTGACACTTTCAATCAATGCGAGAGAGCAGGCTTTGTGGGCTCCAATTTTCATTAATTGATTAGTTAGGCCTTCATAAATGGATTATGACACTATCAGGAGAATTTACTTGGGAAAGTGCCATAAAATTTAAGCGCAGAATAATAACAACAATAAAGGTAGAGCAGGATATAAGAGAGCAGCTGAAATACGACAGGAGTAATTGTAAAATCGTTGAGGAGGAAAATGCTCTTAGGGTATTAATAGACAAAAGGAGAGGCGGTAGAGATGGGGCAGGGGAGGGACCTGTGCTAATGTTGTTCTGAGAGGAGCAGACTGTGCATCTGTGGAGCACTGTGAACCTCCAGTCAAGGAATACTATATATATATATATATATATATAATAGTATAATTATACTATTATTCTAAAATTCTAATAGCATTGTCATAAGGCTGGATCATAACAGTATTTGCCTATACTATCAGAGGTATAGGTCTATAAGGTGTGCTGTGATCCATCCTAAACCCTTTCCCCTCTCTCGTTCATTCCCGTCCCTCAGTTGTTCCTTCCAGTCCCACCATGGCCTCCTCCACCAGTCTTCCCTCCAACTGCAGCAGTTCCTCAGGCATCTTCTCTTTCTCTCCGGCCAACATGGTGTCTGCAGTCAAACAGAAGAGCGCTTTTGCTCCCGTCGTGCGGCCCCAGGCCTCACCGCCCCCCACCTGCACCAGTGCCAATGGAAACGGCCTCCAAGGTGAGTGGAACAGCAGAATGAAAAGCTTGACCTCTCCAAGAAAGGGCAAGCACTATATATATAGTTTTTATACTCTTTTATATGGATTTTGCTGTGCAGTGTTGTTTCTAAGCACTCTGTTATAAAACCAAGTGAGCTGCCTCCAAAATTACAATAAGCTAATTATGCTGCCTTCGAAGACACCTAGTTTTGCCGACTTTTTTGTCAATGCAGAGCACTGTTTATATGATGCAAGGAATCTGTGCCTATGTAAAGCTTTCCAAATAGTCACTTAGGAGGTTGAAAGGCATCTGTCTATGTAGGCATTTGGCAGCGATGCAACTCACTTGTTTTGAAACCGAGCTGAAGTGTCTGATCTACAGCCTTCTAACACTTAGACAGCTGTCAGTTTGTCCTAACTTGTGGTAATCTGTTTTTATATTTGCTTCTCTGGCCCAATTCCTCTTTTTGTACTTAAAAAATAACTCTCTTTCTTTCTGTTTCCATCATCTTCCTTCCCCTGCTTTCTCCCTCTGCTTCCAGTAGATCAATCTTTTGTGGACTCTAGCAAGTACTCCACCGCCAGCTCCCTGCAGGGACTGGCCTTCTCCTGAAGTATGTTACACCTGTCTCACACTCTTT